AAAAAAAATATATATATATATATATATACGTGTAGTGTTATATATATGAATACCTTTTCGTGTTTTTTTGTTTTGTTTTAGATAATTTAGTAAAAGTTAAAAAAGGACAATCACCACATTGAGTCTAGACCATTTTATTTTATTTTTAAACAGAAGTTTTTGATCAAATTTGGCAGAGTTTCAGAATAATAAAGAGCAATGAATATATTGATATATATTTAAAAAAATAATAATAATAATAATAAAAATAAGCATTGGCAACTAGTAGCCTGAGGGCATTTACAACAGGAGAAAAAGTCATTTTTAGTTTAAAACTTGTATTAATTGTTTATGTAAACTGTCACTTTTGTTTTTGTTTTTTTTTTTTTTTTATAACGCTTTCAATTACAATTTTTCTTCTTTTACAACTGCAAAATTTGTAAATTATTTCAAATTTTGAAATTTTTTTTACCAAAGAAATTGCTCAAAATGTAGCCTATAATCTTCATGTAAATGGTTTAACTATACAACTAATTAATAATCTATGAAAATATAAGTAAAAGTATGTAATATAAGATAATCATTTTTTACTAAATGATGTAATATGTCTAGATGATAACGTTTAAAATATTTATATTATTTTCTGATAAATATAAAAATGTTCTAGTTTTACTAAAAAGACATATCTTATAGAGAAAAAAAAAAACGATTAAATTTCATAATTTATGTAATTAATTAAATGTTCTGCTATCGATTTACTTAAAACCAAACTTTAATGACTTTTTTCCCCCTAAAATTAATATATAAATCTTTAAATTTGTTTATAGTTTATATAATAAAAAGCAAGCGAAAAATTCTTACAATACAATAAGTGATCAAACTGTATTTAAGTAATTAAAGTGTTTAAATTTGAAGTAAAATTATGTGAAGCAATCATTTTACTTTTAATATTTATATAATAATATTGTCGATGAAGCAATAAGAGTAAAGGAAAAAGCAGAATTTGTAGATTTTCAAGCTGATTTTAGTGATGGATGGAAAGTCGACAGTGTACTGTACAGTGACCTTTCACGTAGGAAGTGTGTGCATCACGGTTAAACCTCGAGATCACGATATTTTTAAATTTTCCTCATGCAAAAACAATTTTAAACTTTTTACAAATTTCTTCTTAACTCCATTTAATATACTGATTTAATTAATTAGACATTTCGATACAACTTAATAACATTTTTAGTGTTTTCTAAACAAAGAAAATTGTTATTTTATTAAGTAATATTTATAATTAATTATATTATTTATCTCTTATTTGTCTGTGTAATAACGTTAAATAAATATCAAAGTAAACAAAACCTTTGTATTTACTTGTCTCCTGTATAATAATAGACACGTAAAATATCACGAAGAGACAAACGGATCGTATGTAATATTAATAATAAATATAAATTTAAATAAAATAGTTCTGTACGTATTACTATAAAAGTCAGAATAATAAAAGATTTATAATTTCGAAACAAATTTTATTCTGTAATATTTATATTATTTTCTATTCTAATATATAATTTTTGTTGTAGTTTCGTGCTTTACAGTAGTAGATGGCAAAGCGTGTAGGGTGTTGTGAGGCGAAATTGCAGTTAAGCATAAGCATTTCATAATGCATTTTTAGCATAGCGCATCAGATAATCGAAAACAATTGACACGCCCTTGCGGTGAAGAACCAGACAAGAGACGTCACGCATAGAATCGTGAGTAGGGATCACGAAGGGCAATGTTAAGGAACTCAATTCTTTTTATATAATTTACCTAATTTTTCTAGTAAAATGATCATTTATAAACCTTTTTAGATAAAATTTAAATGGAAGAACGGAGAAAAGTGATATCGGATTTTTTTTTTCTACGAATTTTTTATGAATTCGTGACTACAACAGGCATTAAGAATCTCTTTGAAAGGAAGATATTAATCTTTATTGTGGTGTAAAACGAAATTTTTTGCTGTTATTTTCTACTGGGAAAGTATAGATTCGTCCTGAATGCATCGAATAAGAAGAAAAGTTCTGGTGTGAGGAAAAAAAAAAGTCGACAACGTAAGAGGTCAGAGCGGTATGAATGTTTGAGAATTGCTTCTCCGATAGGCGATAACGGTACTTAAAGACGGGAATGTAATCATTACGGATCACCGTAACGAATTTACGATTATTCTTCTAAATTATACTACACACATCATCACCTCGATTGATAAATTTATTTTGGTAATTCCCTTTAATGATGTAGATTAATTTACTTATGTTTTCGGTGATATCTAAGTATTAAAGGTATATAACATCGTTTATATATCTTTGTAAGTGTTGTTGAGAAACTTTAGAAGTCGAGTGAAATATAGAACTTGTAAAATGTTTTCAGTTACGAATAATTTAATCGCCGTTCATCTTCCAAATGGAATAATGTTCATCATTAGACGTGTTTAAGGTTTATGTGACTCT